TTTTTAATCTGTTTAAAGTTAAACTAAAGATCAACATACTGAAATCATTAAACAGTTTTGTTTCTCTTTGCTTTTAAATTTACAGGGCAGTAAATTAAAAAAAAACAGTTGTATGAAATTCGTGCACGGCATGGGTGATGTCCCTCATTCCAGCCTGTCCCTCAGTCCAGCCTACACTCTCTCCAATTTGGGACCCCTCAAGGGATGTCTGACTGCCCTTTTAGGTGGGATCAGGCCTAAACGGGCAGTTGGACATCCCTCGAGGGGTCCCAGATTGGAGAGGGTGCAGGCTGGGCTGAGGGACACCCCCCCCCACCCCACCCATGCACGAATTTCATGCACTGGGCCTCTAGGCCTGTCTAATAAAAAGGGAATGTGTTAATTGACTCTCACGTCATCACAAAGATGGTTGTGCCCACAGCCAATAAGGAGGGAATATGCTAATTGACTGTCACGCCCTCAAAGATGGTGGTTCCCACAGCCATAAGTTGGCAGTACCCATTCCCCTCAGCCCCACTGGGGCAGCAGGTGCATGTCAAGGCCAGGCCTGCACGCAGTCGGGTCCGGCCAATCCACGCGTTGCCTTCCCCTGATCTCTGGGTCATCTCCTGCTCCAGAGGATTCCCAGACTATGATAGGGGGCAGACCTGTCTGAGGGACCTCCCCCATCCAATGCATGAATTTTCCAAGACCCTAAACGGAAGAGCTCAAATAAAAGTCTTAGAAGAAAACATAAAGGAGAAATTTTATGACATTGGATTTAACAATGATTTCTTACATGTGGCATCAATGAAGCTAGCCAGGAGGGCTTTCTCAGTCCCCAGTCCACCTCCAAGATACCCCTACCTCTCAGGAGTATCTCATATAAACTGCACACCCTCGAGAGAAGGGGACAAGGAATTGAAGCTGCCAGAGCAATTTTAAAGTTGACAACTTTAAGGAAGCAAACAGGGCTGACTGCAAAACCACAAAACAGACAAAAGTAGGTTGCTGAGACATTCCCCCCCACCTCTCTACCCCCCCCCAAAAAAAAATTCTACATCTCAACAAGCTCTCATTGACAGTCCTGTGAGGATGTAAGATGCATATGCCTAAGAGAAACGCAGCAGTACTGGTGAAGGAAAACAATCATTAAACTGTGGATGCTACTTTAACCAAATGATTAGGGAAACTGGGCTCCCTGCCTCTTGACTGTTTCTAAGAGCACAGGCCTTCTGTGACATGACAGCAGAAACATACAGCCCAGAGCAGTGCCTGGCTGGTCCTGGCCCTACAGACAATGGGAAGAAAGAACCTGAGCCAGTTCACGTTCACCATGACGTTTCTAAGGAAAGAATCAACATTGAGGCGCCATACCTAGTCTTTAGAAACAGTGTATTTGGGTTCAGGGGGGTGGGTGGGTTTCCATTTGAAACCCAGGGCCTTCTGTGGATCTTCACTACCATCTTCACTACCATCACCTTTCATGGAAGAAGACCCTGAGGAAGAAAATGCCCCAGAGAGGAATGTCCTCTGTTGTTAACCTATCTGATGACATTTCTTCCCAAAAAGATTTTGAGTCAGCAGGAAGAGGTCAAGGTAATGATCAACCATTTTGGAGTTAGATTCATAGAATTCAAAGAGTTACAGCTAAAAAGTTTTTAAAGTTGAGCTGAGCAGCTCTTCCATTTTCAGAGACCTGCACCTAGGGATCCAGTGGCACAGCTAGGACTCAATCCTAACCTACCTCCATGTGCTTTTTCCAGAGCACTACACTGCTTCAGTCATGACCATTTCCAATTTACTTGGCCTGACTACCCTAAAAGCATCATCTGCGTTTCAGTGTATATTATAGCAAAGTCAGGCTCTTTTAGCTGAGTCTTATAGATGCTAAAATACTTGCTGAAATCTGCAGTAGATATTTACACATTTATGTTCATAGAATCATTATTCACAATAGCTAAAACATGGAATCCATCCAGATGCATCCATCAACAAATGAAAGGATATTCCATTGTATTGAACATTATTAAATAATACCCTCAAATATGCAATATTATTTTGCTTTAAAAAGGGAGGAAATTCTGTAGCAATATGCTACAACATAGATGAACCTTGAGGTCATTATGCTAAGTTAAATAAGTCAGTCACAAGAAGACATACAGTTTGACTTATATCAGGTACTTAGAGTAGTCAGAATCATAGAGAGTGGTTGCAAGGGGTTGGGATCAGGGGAGAATGATAATTATGTTTAATGAGTTCAGAGTTTAAGTTTTACAAAATAATTATAGATATGGATTGTGGTGATGGTTGTACAGCATTATGATTATATTCAATACCACTGAACTATATACTTGAAAATGGTCAAAATGTTAAATTTCATTTGTGTAAATTTTCCACAATTAAAAAAAAATAGGTGAAAGGTGTGGTTCAAATAAAATCTATTTGAGATGAGTGGGTAGGTGGAAAGAAATCAACCAAAGAACTTATATGCATTATACATACGTGTATAACTCATGGACACAGACAATAGGGTGGTGAAGGTTTGGGGCAAGGGATGGAAGCAGTCTATAATAGAAGGGGCCAGTGGGGGAATAAAGACTGAATTTTTTAAAATTATTTTTATTTAAAGCCAAATCTAGCTATCAAATTGATACCAAAAATATAAAACAAAGGTTATTTTCTTTAATGAACCAAACTTGTTTTCTCTCCTTTGTTATGTGTGCATTTGTGATGGTAAGCTTTCTGGTATATATTATGTAATTTCAGTTCTTTGCTATTTGAAATGAAATAGTGACTTTTATTGAATAATGCCGCTTTGGCAGTTTATACTTTACTTATGAAGTAGTGTATTAGTTTTTTATTGCTGCAGAGCATATTACCACAAATTTGGAGTGTAACACAATACCCAATTATCAACTCAGTTGTAGATATCAGATCTGTAGGTTAGAAATTAATTTGAGCTCAAGTAACCTCTCTGTTTAGGATTTCAAAGGTGTTGGCTAGACTGGACCCTTACCTGAAGACCGGGGGTCGGGGGTTATTTCTGGGCTTATTCCAGTTATTGGCAGAACTCGGTTGCTTGCAGTTGTGGGTCTGAGGTCCACATTTCCTGACTGACTGTAGTTGAAGGACTACTGTGCTCCTAGAGGCTGCCTGCAGTCCTTCTCGCAGAGCCCCTCCATCTTCAAAGCAAGCAATGGTGTGTCACTTCCTTCTTGTCCTTTGAATCTGACTTGCCTTTCTGCTCCCAACCAAAAATTGCGGCCCAACTAGCATAACTCAGTGGTTGAATGTCGACCCATGAACCAGGAGGTCAAGGTTCGATTCCCCGGTTGCAGACTCAGTCCCTAGTGGTGAGTGTGCAGAAGGCAGCTGGCCAATGATTCTCTTGTCACTAATATTTCTATCTCTCCCTCTCCCTTTCTTTCAAATCAATAAAAACATTAAAAAACAAAACAAAACAAAAAAAGTAAACTGAAATAACTTGACTAGGGTCACCTACTAATCAAAGCCAGAAATTTAAATCCAACTCTACATTTGAATAGTTTTTACTTGACAATTAATCATCTCTTTTATTTTAAAAAATTTTATCAGAAAATTTTGTACCCTTGATACTTAGAATTATAAGGAATTAAAGCAGAGAACAGTTATAAGTCACAAATTATTTTCTCTTCTGCCTTTTTGCTGGCATTCATCTATTGATTCTCTCCCAGTTTCTCTTCAAGTCTTTCTCTATGTAGTATAACTTCTTTTAATTCTATTTTTGGATATGAGTTACAATTAGAAACTTTCTTGAACAAATTATAGAGTAAATTGAAACAAAAGACAATACCAACATGCAGAAGCTCTTAGACACTATGGCCATGTGTATATGTGGTGTATACATGCTATTTTTTTCTCTGTAAGAAACAAAGTCATTTTTCTTTATTTTTTCTATTTTCCTTTTGTGTTTGTTACTGCTAACTTGTATGTAATGTGTGTAATCCAGGATCAGAATCTCAAAAATGCAATGCTCTTATCTCAAGAACTTGGGACTCAGAACGAGGGACAGGACACGCTGGTACTGCAGATTCTTAGTTCTTTTGGTTCTGCAGGGACGGCTCTTTTGGATATTAGAGTGACACTTCTTTCATATGTGAATATACTGATCTAAATACCAAGGACTTTTTATCTGTTTTATGTTTGGTACAAAACTGGCTCCCTGCTTTAATGAATATAAATGATAGGTACCTGGATCTAGTACTGTTTGGGGTTAGAGAGGTAGATTGGAAAGGGGTTGGAGGAAGGAAAGTGTATTTAAAAACCATCTGGCTCTGGTTTAGAGTCATTTCAGCTGCTTTTCCAAACCAGAGCCTGATATCACACACTAGAACTTTTGCTCCATTGGGTTCCCCAATTATGTGATTGGTGATTTGGCAATCATGTTGACGTGCGTATTGGAACTTTGATCTCTTTTCTTTATATCTGCTTCATTGCCTTAACCCTGGACCAGGCAAACATGGTTCTGTGACCAGTAAACTGGTGATGTACTTCAAATGGGGCTGAAAAGGCTCAGAATATAGGTGGTTGTACTCTGACCAATGTGCTTTTGCAACATTCTCCTTAGTATGTTTGGAACTTTGCTGAGCACAGCTATGTATTTAAAATTCCTCAGGATTTTTGTAGGGTTTTTTTCCTCCTAACTGCCTAAAGTGTTATATGTTATAAAATACGGAAGAAATATATTTTATTTTTCTACTACCTTAGAAGTTACCTTGTAATTTCATTTAGATCAATTAACACAAAAATTGTGGTAATTTGCTCACTTACAGAAAATGCCAATTCACAGAAGGATTTTAAAAGAATCTTCTAGAGGTGCTTTTGGGAGGAATCAGTACATTTTTACTTAAAACAAACTTTGATTTCCTCATTTTCTATTCTTCATACAGTTAGTTTCTCTGTGGTTTGGGATTATGAATTGAGAAGAAAACTTTCTGTTTCAGTATGAAATTTAATATAAATCTTTCTTATGTATTCAGCGGCCATTGCAGTCATTTGGACAGACAGGAAAAAGGTCTAAGGTATAGTAAATATTTTGTGCTGGCATGCCAAGGGCCGTCCTTCATGCTTGATGAATCCTTATTTTCATATAGCGCTGCATCAGTTTAGTTTTGTCATATTTTGGTTGGGGCAGAAAGCTTATTTTGTTTTATTTGGGTTTTGTCTTGCCTAGTTGCTTTGTGCATTGCTTTTGTATCTTTAATGGTTTTTTTATAGAGAAAATGGCTTTCTCACCATTCTTTGGGTTTTGAAATTGGAATTATTCCCATTCTTGCTATTGCTATAATTTTCAAAACTGCAATTGTTTGTTTTTCCTCTTAATGGATTTTAGAAGTAATTAATGATATATATAACTTGCACATTTCACCTATGCCTATATGTGGCAGAAACTATCGAATATAAAGACTTAAGAAACTCTAGGGGGCTTTTGGTTGTACACCCCAGATTTTTAAAATGTAGTGTTAATTTTAAATACTTTTCTTTAGTCAAGCTCAAAGTTAAAGCTAGTTCGGAGCCTTGCAGTATGTGAAGAATCTCCACCACCCCCTACAGCAGAGATATCACAGGAGAACCAGGTAAAAAATATATATATATTATTTACAGACATGGTGGAATAACCTGCCTCCTGGAGAAATTTTTTTCATAAGGTTAAATAAAGTTGTAAAACACTCTGAAATCAGTTTTTTTAAGTTGTATGTGCATGTGTGTGTGTGTGTTATATGTGTTTTTACTAAGAGAATTCATTTGATAATACATGATACAAGATACACGTGAACAGTGGGAAAACCTTGTTATGTTACTCTAAGGTTTAGTATAATGATTTCTCTCTGGGAAAACTTAGGGATAATATAATTAACTGGGACTATGGCTCTAAGTGAGTTATAAGTTATTTTAGAAAGGTAATAAAGTAGTACCTTCACTTAGTGAAATTGTGATGAAATTTTTTCTTTAGATTTTGGTCTTAAGTTTGTCAAATACTGCTTGTGTGTGAAGAGGAAATTACCCAAGATGTCTGCTTGATATATTATTTTAGTTAAGCTGAATGAATGCATGGTGAAGCCAATTCTTATATTAGCTTGGTTCTATTAGTTGTCTTGAAACTTCTAATTCTTTTTCTGTCTATGCTTGTAAAATGTAGAACTACTGAGATTCAAGCATACAGTTTGGTTTGCCTTTTGTATTTTTAATGCTATGACTACTTTTCTGTTAATCTTAGCTGTGGATTGACATTTGCCTTCTCTTTTATGGGCAATATATATTAAATATGTTTGGACTCTTTATCAGTATTCATCTGTGATGATAACTTTGGCTGTTAATGGCTTGTTCTACTTTTTATGAGTTTAAGCAATATAAAATCCTTCTGTATCCCAATAATTGGTTTTCAAAAAAAACTCATTTTGGATTTAAAAAAAAAAAAAAAAGGAAAAGGCCATGATAAGTTGTATTTCTTTTTTTTAATAAATAGCAATTGTACATTTGTTGATTCAGGCAAAGACTAATGTTTTGCCTTGATTTAAAAGATGATACTCTTAAAAGCCTGTTCTACATAATGAAGATAGTTGTCACATATTTAGAAGAGGCCCACCCAATGTTGCTCAGCAGTTGAGCATCAATCTTTGAACAAGAAGGTCACAGTTCAATTCCTCATCAGAGCGTATCCTGGGTTGTTGGCTCAATCCTCAGTGTGGTGCATGCAGGAAGCAGTTAGTGATTCTCATCATTGATGTTTCTCTGTCTCCCTCTCCCTTGCTCTCTGAAATCAATAAAAATATGTATTTTTTAAAATGGGAGGAGATTTTTAAATAGATTATTTGTCAGTAAAAAATACCAAAAAATCCATTTCTTCTGAACTGTGATCTAATGTTAGGAACATAGGGTTCAGAATTTATTTGAGATTTATTTGCAATTTAAAAACAGAAGAAAGTTATATGCATTCATTCTATAAAGTAAATATTTTTAACAATAAAATGTCAACATTTTCTAAGAAAAAGTAGAAATACAGTTAAAATATTTTACTAATATTCGTTTGTAGATTTACTAAGAGCTATTGCCTGAGAACATTTTCAAATGTTGGCCTTTGGCTTTTGCATGGTTGTTGATAAGGCTGAAGAGTTATGATGCACTCTGAAAGAAATTTAATAAAATTGTTTTTGAAATAGAAATTTTAAAAAGTTCTTTTGTACAAATCAGAGTAAAGACAGTGCCTGTCCAGGGTGAAATAATAAAATGTTTTGGGTTTTTTTTAATGTATTCTTTCTGTTGTCAAAAATGTTATATCATCCTAGCCTCATGGACTATTATTAGTCCAAGGAGACTGAAAAAATAAGAAGGGTCAGGCATTCACAAGACTGTTAAAACAGAAAAATGCATTCTTTTTGAGAAAAACTATAATGTGATTGTTTTTTGGGGGGGTTGTTTGTTTGTTTATCTTTTCAGTACATTTTACCTATCTGAAAAATATTGGAGTGAAATTATTATAGCATTACATACATTTAGCTAGTGAAAATTTATATGGGAAAAAATATCAGGAGTGTCTGTTATAAATTAATGTATATACTGTTCATCTCAGTTAATAATATTTGCATTCATAGTTCAAAGACCTATTATTCCACTTAATACATTTGTTCTCAATTTCTCTTGAATACAGTGATTTTTGTCTTTTGAGATAATAGCCTACTTTTACCCTTTCACTGAACTTTTTCCAAGTCTTGAGTTAACTAAATTGCACCTGAATGGGAATAGGAAAATAAATTATTTCTCATGAAATGTCCTAGTATTTAATCCTTGATACTAATAATGCTTGCTTCAGAATGTGATTTTTGAGGAATCTATCTGGAGTAAAGCACATTAGTCAAAAGGTTGAGCAGCAATTAAAAGAGATGGTACTTGTGTCTAATAAGAGCTTATGAGAGGGAAGTGACCAACAAATGTCAATGGCTGAGTGAAGAAGAATAAAGAAATTACAACTTCCTATGGAGATGTTGCTTATTTATAGTCAGAAGAGTTTGTGTATGGATTTCAGTATTTAAAATATGCCTTGTTTATTTGCTAATGAAAACAAGGTCTCATTATCAATTGAAGCCAGATCTCAGTACATTAACCCTCTAGATTTTTAAATACAGTTCATCTTGATAAAATAATTTAATATCTGTAATTATAATATACAACTTTAGTAGGGGAATTTAGAAATGAAACCTGATAGTCATTGGGAGTGCCTTTTGTGGCTGTGTAAATGTGAAATCTTTTCTTCCAACCTAGATTTCATTGAGTAACAGGAATAGGAGCTGTAAGTCAGGAACACTTCTAATATTCTATTTCCAAAACATACTTCTGGGATTCACTTTAAAATATCTATCTTACAGTTATTTTAAAAATAAGGAAAGCAGATTAGAAAGAGTCATAAGACAACATGATGTATCTTGATAATATTATGCTAAATGAGATAAGTCAAGTGGAAAAGGATAAGAACCATATTATTTCACAAAAAAGCAACAGACAGTTCTGATCAGTTTGGCTCAGTGGATATAGCATTGACCTTTGAAATGAAGCATCTCAGGTTTGCTTCCAGGCAAAGGCACGTATTATACTTCAGTTGCAGGTTCGATCCCTGGCCATGGTTGGTTCACATGCAAAGGCAACTAGTCAGTGTGTCTCTCTCACATTGATATTGATATATATCTTTCTCTCTCTTTCCCTTGCCCTTCCCCCCTCACTCTCCCATTCCCTTCTACTCTAAAAATCAATGGAAAAATATCCTTGGGTGAGGAGACTGACTAGGTTTCCGGTGGTGAGCGCACAATAAAATATATGGATATATTATAAAGATTTACACCTGAAATTTATAAATGCTATTAACCAATATTACACTGATAAATTTAATTTTAAAAAAAGGAAAGTTAGTAATGAAAAAAATGATTGTCAGTTGATGAATGTATGAAGTTCAGCAACTGTAGTGAAAATTGCCAGTACATAGCTTTTGCACTGTATTTTGAACATAAATTTGAACTGAGATGGAAGGGGAAGCAGAATTGAAGAGATGAAAATAGCACTCAGCAAACCTATAGGAAAAAATACTATATTTGACTGAAATTTTTTGCCAATTACTATTTAAAAAAAAATTTTGTGTGTGGGTGGTCAGAGATATTTAACAGAAATCCCAATGTCTAAAAGTTTAAGAACACTGAAATTTATATTCCCTTTGATATTGACTTACTGCACTTTTTACCGTCACCAGCCATCTCCCAGAGAAGAGGAGTAATTGATTGATGTTTTTAATCACTATGGACAACAGTGTAATTTAGTTTACAATTAAACTATACTTTTATCTTTAGTAGAAATGGTCTGGAAGTTATTCTGCCTTTCTTGATAACTTTGCCTGAATAAACAGAACTGGGTGACATTTACCATTTTAGGCTATATGAATTAATTTTCACTAATTCCTTTGGGTTCTGAAATTGCATGTGATGAGATTGTTTTAAAAATGAAATGTAGAATTAGTTCTCTTTTTTAGTCTTATACAATGTGGTTACTTTACAGTGAATTACTACGAATCAGGAAGGAAAGCAGGCTTGCTTGAAATCCTTATATACTTTATGGTGTTTGATGAAGAATAGTGATATATAAATTTCAAATAATGAAAAATCATGTAAATTTGGTTTTGGATATTTTGTACTTATTTTTTTATATATATATTAAGAGAATGAAAGAATGTAAGATTTACCTATCTTTCTCTTCCCCCACCCTCAAAAAAAGTACATTTTACTAAGTATTTATTTGATACTTATGTCTTAGTGTTGTCATAATTGATGATAATTCTTATTTCTTTTCTTGGTATCTCCATTACAAAAACATAGGTTAAAAAGACCTTGCTTCTGATTCTCCAGTAGCTTTGCAAATAGATACATTAAAACTGTTATAGGAAACATTTATTTTCTCTAAAATTATTTCCAGGATATGTTTCAATTGATATAGTCAACATCTTAAATTTTGCTATCTGGACTTCAATATTATGGTAAAAATATTTTGAAGTTGTATTCTACTTTGAAAAATTAAATACTTTAATTAGATAAAATAATAGTTGTTGTTTTTTTTCCCCTCCACACACTTTTGTGTTGCTACAGGTGTGTGGTATTAACTGAATTACTCTATATTTTTTTTATTTAAACTGATTTTTACCTTCCAACAGGAGAAAATTCAGATCCAGTTAACACAATCATTTGAAAAAGAGGAGAAGCCCTCAAAAGATGAAGCAGAAAAAGAAAAAGCCAGTGATAAGTTACCCAGAAAAATGTTATCAAGAGGTTTGCAATTTATTTTTGTGGGTCTTTTTTTAAAACAAAATTTTAGTGTCACTGTTGGTAATTCCATTCCTTATCCCTCATCTTACCTAATAATATACAAACATGTAAATTGACTGTACCTCCACTATGCCCACAGCCAATCAGGAGTGAATATGCAAATTAGCCCAACAAAGATGGTGGGTTAATTTGCATATGCAGTTGCGGAGCTGCTGGGCAGGGCTGGACACTTGCTATAAGGGGGAGGAGGGGCGGAGGGAGCTACAGGAGCAGGGCTGAGGCTGGAAGCAGGGACTTGCAGGATCCTAGGCTTCCGCGAGTGAAGCCAAGGGAAGGAAGGCCTATTCTTGCACTAATATTATACAATGGGCCTCTAGTGTGTGTGTGTGTGTGTGTGTGTGTGTGTGTGAGATGCAGAACAGACTGAAGGGATAATATAGTACTTGCTCATCTGCACAAAATGGAATAATACAGTTCTGAACATCAGTAAGACACATTCATTAAAAAAAACTGCAACATACACACATACAAACAAACTACAACACATTGCAGAGTCACTGAGGAAGATAATTGTCTTTATCTCTTATTGGACTATCTACTATTGAAATAATAGAATTACTATAATTTGAATACGGATTTCACTAAAAATATTACTTATTTCCTTATCATACAAAGAGATGATGCCCTAGCCAGGTGACTCAGTTTATTGGAGTCTTATCCAATATACCAAAAGGAGGTGAGTTGAATTCCTGGTCAGGACATGTATGGTGGGACAATTGATCTCTCTCTTTCTCTCTCTCTCCCTATCTTTCTCTCTCCTTCCTTCTCTCTCTCTCTATTCCTCCCCCTTCCTCTCTTTAAAAAATTAATAAAAACATATCCTCAAGCCCTAATCAGTTTGGCTCAGTGGATAGAGTGTCAGCCTGCATACTGAAGGGTCCCAGGTACAATTCCTGTCAAGAGCATGTACCTTGGTTGCAGGCACATACCCAGTAGGGGGTGTGCAGGAGGCAGCTGATCGATGATTCTCTCTCATCAACGTTTCTAACACTATCCCCTCTCTCTTCCTCTCAGTAAAAAAAAGGAAGAAAAAAATCAATGAAATATATTTTAAAAATAAAACATACCCTCAGGTGAGGATTAAAAAAAAAGAGCTCATGGCTAAATATTCAATATCCAGTAAAAATATTCATGGAAAGCAGAATGTTTATCTTTCATAACAAATGTTAAGGGAGTTCACCATCTATTGCATATCTATAAAAGTGCTTTTTTAATTTACAAATTCAATTATGCTGATCAGTATTATAAATTGCATAAAAGGAAGAAATAAAAATTTAAAAAAATTTTAAGAATGTGCATGTACATACAATTATATAAACCTATATCTGTTCATTATATGGGAATAGAAAAATAGTAACCATCTGATTTCATAATAAATTCTCTTTTCGTACTTTGTTAATCTTTTTCAGTGTGGACCATCTCATTTTATTTAAGATATGTATCATGTGTAAAAGGGAATGAGATTTATTTTCAAACAACTTTATACTGTTTTTGTGTTGTTTTTTTAGATTCCAGTCAAGAATACACTGATTCAACTGGCATAGATCTACATGAATTTTTAGTAAATACATTAAAAAACAATCCCAGGTAAAAAATAAATTTATAAGATTTATATTGCTTTTAGAATATCATAATTTGCTATGTGTGTCTCCATTACTGAGTTAAAAGTATGCTAATAATAGACTAGGTGGTCATCATACCCTAACACATTATACACTAATGTCACAAGATGGCCATGCACACAGTGGAGATGGGGCTCTGCAAGGGAGGACAGTTATAGATGATCAGGTGTGCAGGGGAGGACAGTTGGAGGCAATCAGACCAGCAGGGGAGCATCAATCAGCTGGCAGGGGTGTGCAGTTGGGAGCCATCAGCCCAGCATTGGAGTGGTTAGGGGGCAATCAGGCTGGCAGGCAGAAGCCGTTAGGGTCAATGAGGCAGGCAGGCAGGCAGGCAAGTGGTTAGGAGCCAGCAATCCTGGATTGTGGCCATCCCGCAAGGGTTCCCAGATTGGAGAAGGTACAGGCGGGGATGAGAGACACCTTCCCAACCCCACCCCCATGCATGAATTTCGTGCACCAGGCCTCTAGTATTAGAATAAGATTGCAGTGTTTGAAGTACACCAGAAACATTTAGATTCTTAGGTTTATGATGTTGGTGGTCTTAAATATCTTTTTGCAGTATGTGTTTCAGTGTGATATAAAAATTTATGCTGTATGTAGGAATTTTGGGAAACACAGCATTACCAAGAAATTTTGATTCAATTGAAATGCAGAGTTAACATTAATCATGAAAAAAAAAAAAGATGGAGGAAAATGTTCTCAGGATAATGCAGCCATCTGAACAGGAACTTAGTGTATTCATTTATGAGTTTTTAAACTTAAAGTGAGAATATTTGTTCCTTTTTTTCATAGTTTATATACCTTCAACCCTATGATTTTTAATGTGCTTAGTATTTTAGTCACTAGCCAATTATGAAATCCTTTGTTTACCAAGGTAATGAATAAATAGATTTTCACTTTTGGCAGGTCATTGACCCTGTTACGGTATTTCTCACTAAAAGGCTTACCCACAAATATTTCACCAGTGCTTTCATGAGATAGAAGACTCCCAGTTTAAGAACCTATCCTCTAAGTGTTAACTTCCCAGATTGGGAGTTATTTTGCATATATTCCAATAAAAAGAAAACAGTTTCATTGGGCATGTGCACATAGAAGAAATCATGAACAGCTAGCTCTCTTTAGTCTCACTGAGACTTATAACTCAAGATAAACCTTTATTTTAATTCAGGGTTTATTATATTCAGTGCATCTTGATTTTCTAGTTTACACTTAAAATAGACCTTCAAAGGAGAACTGCCTAAATGAAAAATGGATTGAAGGAGTATAGGTATGACATGAGTTACAAAATTTTTATTAAAACGCTTCTTACATACCATTATATTAGCTGGGCCACAAAAATATTCGTTGTGGGCTGCAAGTTTGACATACTTGCTTGTCTAGGTAGAATAGATTTGTGGGGAACAAAGGAAGATATAGAGATATAATAAACTACTGTTGTATTGTAGTTAAGCCACAAATCCTGATTGCAAGGATCCCTGGTACTGGCAGTGGAAACAGAAGAAAATAGATAGAAGATAGATAAATTTTGCAGTTGTAATTAACTCCATGGGAATATTAGACAAAAGGACTATCATGGGCCAAAAATGCTTCTAATATAATATGCTGTGTGAAAGGTGGTGCCACTCACTGGAGTGGGGAATACTAAATGAGAATCAAATTTGAGAGCAAAATTGAATGTTGCTTGAACTTGTATTTAAATGTAATCCTGTATTCAGCTTTAGATTTAAAATCACCAGGGTAGCATGTTTTTCTCTAGGTTTTTCAACTAATATTTTAAAATGTATGGTCAAATAGTATTCAATTTTATGATACTTCCTTTATTATGTAGTGGGAGGCTGATGTATAGAATTTTAGGCAACTTAAGCAGGGAATATCGTCTCCTCTATTTGAATTTGATAGGGATCTAAATAACTTTTATTTGGGCCCACCCGGTGTGGCTTAGTGGTTGAGCATCCACCCATGAACCTGGAGGTCACAGTTCCATTTCCAGTAAGGTCACATGCCTGGATTGTGGGCTCAGTCCCCAGTAGGGGTCGTGAAGGAGGCAGCCCTTTGATGATTCTGTCATCATTGATATTTCTCTCTCTCTCTCTCTCTACCTCTCCCTCTCTTTCTCCCTTTCCCTCTCCCTCTCCCTGTCTTTCTTCTCCTCTCTTTCTTCCCCTCTCTCTTCCCCTCTCCCTCTCTCTCTTCCCATCTTCCTCTTCCCTCTTCCCCTCTCCCTCTCCCCCTCCTCATCTCCCTTTCCCTCTCTCCCTTTCCTTTTCCCTCCCTCTCCCTTCCTCTCTCTGAAAGCAATTAAAAAATTTTTTAAGTCAATCAGTAAATAAGTAACATTTATTTGGGAGGAAAACAATGTCTTTGCTTAGTTTTATTGATCTTTAAAATTTGGGGAATACAAATGATCTGTAAAGCTACTTCAAGCTTTAAATTTCTGTGCAGTTTTGTTTTGCTTTGCTTTGTTTTGTTTTGTCTCCACATGCACATGAAACTTATACTGAACACAGAAATATTCTCTTGAGCCACGTTCTTGGTGAGTGAGCAAGGAGGTCCTTTAGGGAATGGTGCCATTAATTTGCTACAGCCTAAGTGTACTACATAAGCCCCTAGTGGTCTAAACAGGAGCACATGCAGATACTCACTAGAGTCTATTTATTTTACCTGATGGAAACTTTTGGCTCATTTTTATTTTTATGGGAAAAATTCCCAAAAGTCTTAAAAATATAAAATAGCAATTTACAGAATGATTTGAAAAGTCCTCTATTTCGGGGTTAAAGTTGGTAATGTAATTCATACTTCTCTGCTATAGCTCCATTTATATACTTAGGATTCCCATAGGTGTTGTTCCTGGCGCTTCATGTTCTCTAGAGTATTGTTTCTGTGGTGTTCAGCATGATCAGACAATCATGCATCTATCTAAAGATGTCTATTTTCCTGCTATCATCTCTCAGCTTTATTGAGTAATAAGGAAGTAAATACTAATATGCTCTTATCCATATATATTTACAGAACAGAGTCCAGTATAGTGATAGTGGAGTCAAAATCTATTGCAAGAATGACAGCATGTTGATAGTTGTTGAAGTTGGGTGATGGCTATATTAAAGTTCATTACACTGTTCCCTCTACATTTGTGTAGGCATGAAATTTTCCATAATAAAAATTTAAAATAAGTCATCCTTTAGTTTTTTAAAACCATTACTTTTTCAGAAAGCATGTAAATATTTTAGCATCAAGCTTGTGACAGTACTCAATGTACAGTTGTTAATACAAATATTTAGTAGCATAAGTTCAACATTTATTATTTCAGTGTTAAATTTTACATATGAGTCTTCATATTTTATTTCAGGGACAGAATGATGCTGTTGAAATTGGAACAAGAAATTTTAGATTTCATTGGTAATAATGAGTAAGTCCCGACATTTAACAAGAAAAAAATTGTCTTCCCATTTCTCCTTGATTTACTAAATTCGTATGTGTTTTTTTTCTACTTCTAGGTCTCCACGTAAGAAATTCCCCCCCATGACATCTTACCATAGAATGCTGTTACACAGAGTAGCCGCTTACTTTGGGTTAGACCACAATGTTGATCAGAGTGGGAAGTCTGTCATAGTAAACAAAACTAGCAATACAAGAATGTAAGTATTAAGAAATGTCGGTACACATTATATATGTGTTACAGTACTTTCTCTTTTTACAGCACCTATTACCTGAGGTTTTCCATATGTTTTAGCAACCTAATTAAGCTCCATAATAACCCTACACGATTGGATCAAAAAATACTTTTAGATCACTGATTTTAAAATGCACCAGTCTGGGGGACCCTTTCCCCCTCCCCACGTGGGAGTGTGCTGTGGGACTCCTTCCCTCTCCCCACATGGGAATCTGTGCTTGTTCTTCAATAAATTTCCACCTTTGCTATACAAAAATAAAATAAAATGCACTTTAGTCTGAACTGAAATGAGGTAGATGAATGAGGACTGGTTTTAAAAAACAACAGCAAAAAAAAATCTCAAAGATGAAAATATCAGTGATGTTTGATAACTGTTCTCTTACGAATTTGCTCCATTTCTGCTATATATCTCCAGAAAGTGAGTCCATTGGTTAATGTTGTGTCCACTTTCTGGGCTACATATAATTTCCTGAGAAAAATTTTTAAGTAGTTAAGAAAAGCCATTTCCTTTATAAAGTGATAGCTGTCTATTATTGGTGAATTAGATCATCAGTGCTGGCATTTAGGAGCAAAAGGCCCAATACAGAGGCACCTAAAACTATAACATCTACAAAACACCTCTTCTGCCTATTTGTAAAGCTGATCCTAAAACAACTATCGATAATTGAGTTCAGCTAAAATTTATACTTTGGTGGTGATCTGCCATCAATAGAATTTTCTATATCAGTTTGTGTGATTAGTCTGTGGTATTGAGCAGCAGTTAAATACAAATGCCAGAAATAATGCAGTGTTCATTATTTTCCTGCCTTTGTTAAAGCTAGACTTCTGAGGGTCTGATCTATGAACCTTTTGGTTTGATGGTTATATTTAATTCACTTATCTCCTGCTAGAGGCCCAGTGCACGGGTAGGGCCCCGAGGCCTGGCCAGTGATCAGGGCCAATAAGGTTCCCCGAGTACGACTTCCCTCGCCACCCGTGCACAGCCACCATGCAGTCCTGCCTCCTCCTTCCCTCACTCCATCAGGGTCCCACCACTGCAGCTGCCGCTGGCCACCCACCATGTTTCATGCTGCTCCCAGGTGGTCAGTACACGCTATAGCAACCAATCAAACTCCTGGTCGAACCCCCGAGGGGACAATTTGCATATTAGCCTTTTATTATGTAGGATACCCTTATAGCTGCCATTTTGTTTGCTGGAACCATGTTGGTTTTCTTCTGTTTTAAATAGAATGTTGTCAACATGATATATTGATAGGATTTGGTATTATTAAATGATTGTTCCTACAACTAAGATGAAATTAATGAAGATAAGTTAAGGGTCCTATCTATATTGGGGTTTCAATTTTACCTGCAAGTGTGAATCTGATTCAATTTTCCTCTGCCCGTCCCTTAGTCTTTTTTAAGTATCTCCATCAATTAGTCTTTTCCCGATTAGTTACATCATGGCTAATGTAGGATAGTAACTATAGCATGAGTTGGACTGAAGGTGAATAGAACTCTATTTTATCTAACCAATACCTTTCAACATTACTCAGAACTGCTGGATACCCAATCACATGCACATTAGCAGGCACTTCAACTAACATTTCGACTGGTGACTCTCTAAGGTTTTCAGTACAGTGTAACTTCAGTTATTTGAATGCTATGAATGATGTCAGAAAGCTTTAGGGTTTTCTTCATCAAGGTTTTCAGAAGTTTAGCTAAACACAGATGTTTGTGATATACTAAAAAAAGAATAGATCAGTAGCATAATTATACCTACACATTTGAATCACTGAAGTTGCACTGTATTCTTATATCTTCTGCAATATGAAGGTTATAAATCAGAAAACCTTAGAGATCTACTCCACATTGAATAAAAACAAACTTACCTTTTCCTCATAGGCAGATTACCCGCTCCAGCCTTGAACCAGTGGTGTTGTGGATGTCAACAACCCGGTGTCCACTGGGGTGTCTCAATGGAGCGGGAAGTTGGCGATTGCAGGGCAATAAATTCAGGCATCTATTAAAAAAAAAAAAAGAGGTAAGACAGTCTTAAGGTTAGCTGAAATGCCTGCTAATGCTATTTGGTGTGGGGATCCAGCTGCTCTTAGAAAAGTTGCCAGGCCGTTGGTTAAGTCTTATAGTTCACTTTGGAATGACAGTCTCTCACCCAAGTACAAATTCCTTGAATAAGAAAATGTGACTTTAATTAGCTACAAAAATAATTTATATAAGTAAACAGGGAAATCATGTAAAGAAATAACAACATACTGCCATTGTCAGAACTACATAGACAAATCTTTCAAACTCATTAAAAAAAAGCAATCTTTTTCTCATTAGTTTGTTCATGAAACTGTTTTTACCCTCTATTTTTCTCTTTAATTCTGTATATAATTTTACGTGGTGATCTGCTCTCTGTTTCACTTTTTTAGTATATTTTTAAAAATTTGTTTTATTGATTTCTGAGGAAGGAAGGGAGAGAGAAACATCAACGATGAGAGAGAATCATGAATCAGCTGCTTCCTACATGCCTCCTTCTGGGAATTGAGCCATCAACCTCGAGATGTGCCTGACTGGGACCTTCCTGTTCATAGGTCAACACTCAACCACTGAGCCACACTGGTCAGGCAACCACAAATATTTTATTACTTTCAATTATATAAGACCAAACCTGGTACTATAGAAGTGTAACATGATACTGTATACTTTTATTTTGTCTTACAACTTTTTCTTAGATTTAGAAGAGGCAATGCAAAGAGGACATACGGTCTTTGGGTCTTACATAGCAGGCTCCAACTAGGGCTCAGTCATTGTCTTGCATTTTGAACTTGGATGGTTACTTGAGTCATTTGAACCTGACTTCTAAATAATATTTATAATAATAACAAACTTCTAGTGGGTTTTTACTGTTTTAAGTGTTGTTTATTCATGTTCAGAATAACTCTATAAAGTAGGTAGACTTCATAATTTCCATTTACAAATGAGGAAACTAAGGAATATAAAAGTTAAGTAACTTGTGTAAGTCCCAAAGCAACTAAATTGTAAAGCTAAATATTTGAACCCAAGCAGTCTTAGTCCAGAGCCCTCACTGTATTTCATATGGCCTTTCTCAAATAACATGGGATAGTTAATATTTTCTCAAAAGATAATTATGAGGAGTTAATGAAATAATATATTTATCTATTAATAGCACCAGTGAGTGGTAACTTTTATTACTTCTGTTGCTTTTCATTAAATGTTATAGTCACCCTTTCTATAAATATTGTATATTATCTTTTTTGTATCCTTGTTTTTGTTTTTTTAGACCTGATCAGAAATTTAATGAACATATTAAGGATGATAAAGGTGAAGACTTTCAGAAACGATATATCCTTAAGAGAGATAACTCTAGCTTTGACAAAGATGATAACCAGGTAATTTAACACAATTAGAGCATTTTTTTATATGTGCAGGACTTACACCAGCAGATTATTTTCCCAAGAATTATTTGTTCTCTTTTCTTTAGATAAGAATACGTTTGAAAGATGACAGAAGAAGCAAATCTATAGAAGAAAGAGAAGAAGAGTACCAGAGAGCTAGAGATCGTATATTTTCCCAAGATGTATGTAGTGTTCTATTTAGCTCTTCATGTTAGAATATATACTAATTGTATTATAGGGGTTTACTCCTCCCTTAATCTGCTGATTACATTTTAACCAGATTTGTTACATACCAAATTACCTTTAGGAAATATTCAATTTTATTCATTTTAATAACTTAATAATATATAAAATACTATATTGTAGCTGTTACATAAATTTTTCAAAAGTTAATAGCAGATCAACTACGGGACTAATATTCTGAACTGAGTATATCTATATATATAAAAGTCTAAGCAACCATTATGACCCGTCAACCAAATAACCAGTTGACTGGTTGCTATGATGCACACTGACCACCAGGGGACAGATACTCAATGCAGGAACTGTGGCCTGGTGGTCAGTGCTCCCACAGTGGGAGCGCTGCTCAGCTAGCCAAGTTCACAGCTGGTAGTGCAACTGCAGCAGTGCAAGCATCTCCCACCTTTGCGACAGTTCTACTGAGCGGCAGCATCTGCAGGCGTAGTGGGGCCAGGATGAGCTAGAACGGTGGGATGAGCTAGAACGGTGCAATGCTGGGCTCGGGTTCTTCCCCGGCCGCCTGCCACTTTCCACACTACTATATCCCTTAGAGGTTGTCGAACAACTGGTACCTGCAGTCCAACATTTCCCTAGGGGTCCCAGGTTACAAAAGAACACACACCAGGCTGAGGGACCCCACCAGTGCATGGATTCTTGCACCAGGCCACTAGTCTATACTAATAAAAGGGTAATATGCTAATTAGACTGTATGTCTTCTGGAGAAAGCCATGGTGATGGGGATTGAAGCAGAGGTGGTTAGGGGTGACCAGATCAGCAGGTGAAGAAGCTAGGGGTGATCAGGCTGGCAGGGGAAAGCAGTTAGGGAGTGATCAGGTGGGCAGGAGAGGGCAATTAGGGGGCAATCAATATGACAGTGGAGGGCAGTTAGGGGGTGATCAGGATAGTAGAGGAGTGGTTAGGGGATGATCAGGCCAGCAGAGGAGTGTTTAGGGGTTATCACCCCAGCAGACAGAGGCTGTTAGGGGCGATCAGGCAGGTAGGCAGATGAGCAATAAGGAGCCAGTGGTCCCAGATTGCGAGAAGGATGTCCAACTGCCAGTTTAGGCCCAATAAACCAGCTGTTGGACATTCCCCAAGGGGTTCTGAACTGGAGAGGGTCTAGACTAGGCTGAGGGCCCCCCTAAGCATGAATTTCTTGTATTGGGCCTCTAGTGTGTGTGTATATATATCCCTAAAATGCAAATAGACCAAATGGTGGCATAACCAAACAACCAGTCACCGTGACATGCGCTGACCCCTAGAGGGCATGCATGGAACATGGTGTGCAAAGGCTGCGGTGGGATTGTGGAATAGGTGAGTGGGTGCACCAGACCAAGGTGGCATGCTGGTCGCTGTAATCCAGGCAAGCCTCTGGTGGTTACTGAAAATTGTTTGCTCCCGCTGGTGCCAGCCCTGCTCACACCTGCTGCCAATATCAGAGCTGCCATTCACACCCACAGCTGGTGCTCAGCACTGGCCACTATCACTCAGCAATGTCGGCAGGTGCAAGTGATTGCTGCCGGCCCCAATTGCTCCTCAGGGCTTCTACACCTCCCCCTGCTCCTGAGGGCAATCAGGGCCAGCAGCCGCCTCTCAAACCACTGTGGGCTACAGCCCAACTTGCACCCGCTGCCAGTGTCAGAGCCACCACTTGTAACCACTGCCAGCATCAGCCCTGCTCACTCCCACAGGCAGCACTGGCACCTGATGATGAGCCCAATCAATCGTGCGAGCAGTGGCTGCCAGCCCCTATCACCCCTGAGGGTTCCCCAATTTCTCCCCCGCTCCTGCAGGGCGATTGGGGCAGAGGCTGCTGCTCACATCCATTGATGTCACCAGCCCCAATTGTTCTGTGCCATCAGTGTGTGCGAGCAGCACCAGCGCTCAGTGCTTGGGAGGGGCGGGGGGAGTGGGGCTGCCAGCAGATGGGACCAGGGGGTGCTGCAGGAGGGGCCAAGCTCGGGCGCAGAGGATGAGCTGAGACCCACCCCCTTCCCCACTGCAGCCTTAAAGCTCAAAGTTCCTTTCAAGCTGCATAAATTTGTGCACTGGGCCCCTTAGAAGTTTTTATATTTTTTTCTTCCAGGTTTGAAATCTTTAGAATAACTTGTTATTTTAATAAAGCTAATTGATTTTTTAAATTAATATTTGTTTTCCAATTTTTAATTGATTATATGAAAGACATCTTTTTAAGTGGCTAGTTAATTTATGCAGATACTCTATAAGATAATCGGTTGGGTTTTACCAATATCTCTTATGCATCTGTTTTATGTGGTACTAGTTACTATTCAAGGATATAATGAACATGTATAGTTTGTGTTAACATTGCCAGAGATGGAAATGTCCTCTATATTCAAAAAACAAACAGTACATAACATTAACATGTAGACTAACCATTAAGAATTTACAATATTTATTCAACAAATTTTATTGAGCACCCAGAGTAGGTGCTATGCTGGGCATAGTAGAGCATACCCATGGATAGTTACTACAATAATTTTTTACCCAAAACAGCTTTTATATGGTAGATAGTATCATTATTTTTGTTTTATAGGTAAATAAATTGAGGCTCCAGGAGACTAAATAAAATAGCCAAAGATCATACAGCTATAAAATGACAGAATTGGGATTTCAACCAAGGACTTCAGAACTCCGCCTAAATGAGATATATTTCTTTCTAGTTTATAAGCAATACATGGTCTTTATCCTTGATGAGTAGCCAGACAATGGCAGTGTGATATGATTTGTGTAGAGGCATAAAGGTAAAATAAGGACTCTGCATAGAAGCACCACATACCATAGCTGAGGAATGAGAGAGAGTTAGCTTCCAAAAGGAGACCTGAAGGACTAAAGTGTTCCAAGTAGAAGGTATTTGCAGAGGCCCAGTGATGAAGGACAATTTGACAATGAGGATTTGAAAGATTCAGAATACTTGGATTTTAGCTAGGTGACACAGGAAATGAGAAAAGTTTAGATTGGACAAATAAGCAGAGGGCATATGATTCTAAAAACTAGTTCAGATAGGTGGGTTTTTACTTAGAGCAGAGAGCAAACTTTTTCTTGTAAAGGGCCAGATCATAAATATTTTAGACTTTTTTAAGCTATATAGTCTTTATTGCATCAATTGAAATCAGTCTTTTTAATTTGAAAGCACATAAGGAATGAGCATGGCTATGTTTCAATAAAATTTTATTTGCAAAACAACTCTGACCATAGTTTAGTGACTTCTGGTCTGGTGGCTGAAAAACTTGTTAGAAGAGTGTTGTATTAATACAAACAAAAATAATGGTTGCCTGAGCATGAGAAAAACTGTGTTGAGGCATAGCTGCTTGTTCACTGCTGCAGCAACAGCCATAGCTGAGGAATGAGAGTTAAGCTTCACCTGAAAGGTAAAGTACAAGTGATCAAAGTATTTGGTTAATGAATGAAGTGGAATCTACTGACTGGTGTATACCTTGAATATCCTCTCATATAATAATCCTATATCATATACCGGTAATATGCAAATTGACCCTCATGCCATCACAAGATGGCTGCATCCACAGCAGATTCCCCAAACAAGTGATCAGCAGGAACCTGAGGCTGCGTGGCGACGGGCTAGACAGGGGAACTCAAGCCTCCCCCCCCACCACCACCCAGAGGGGCTTGACTGGGGACCTCAAGGCACACTGTCCCCCTCCTCCTCCACCCCCTCTCCCCGGCCCAGCCACAACTCCTGCCCATCCAGGCTTGATGGGGGACCTCAAGCTGCACCCTCTGCCCTAGCACTGGACCAGGAGCCTGAGGTACACCCCTGCCCCAGCAAAATTTGACAGGGGACCTGAGGCTGCATGGCCCCCCCTCCGCCCCCCGCCTCCACCCTGCAAGGCTTGATGGGGGTGGGCTGGTCTGATCTGTGTCTCACTCAATTTCGAGGCATGTGCACGTGGGCAGGAACTTGACTCTGGGTCCCGTGGCAAGCCCCAGACTCTGACGGGAGGAAGATTTTCGTATACATTTTCCTAATTCTCTTTCATTTCTGACACTTCTATTATAGAGAAAGGGCAAATAGCAATATTAAAATATTTTCTCTAATTAATTCCCTTCTAATGTGCATGAATTTTGTGCACTGGGCCAATAGTATAATAATAATGGGTTCATTTATTTGGAAGAGAATATTTTAATTTCAAATTAATTTGTACCATAAAAATGAATGGCTTCAAGCATTGTGTTACCAAGCCAATAAAATCCAGTATCATCTATTTGTGTACATTTATCACCATGTGGATTGGGGGGGGGAGCGATTAGGGATATTTTTTAAATACTATTACATGTGACTTTTGTTGTCATCATTGGTTTAGAGATGGCATTGTATTTGGAAAAAGCTCAACTTAATATATCTATTCTTTTTTATAGTCCCTGTGTTCCCAAGAGAATTATATTATTGACAAAAGGTAAGGAAATTTTTGAACATTTATTTTGGTAACAATCTGACTGATGCTATTAGAAATAAAAATGTCTTATTAAAATGCCAACAGAATCCAAGATGAGGATGCCAGTAGTACCCAGCAGAGACGCCAGATATTTAGGTATTGTAAGCATGCTTTCATAGAGTATTGAAAAATTAAAGCATTTTTTCTTTTCGTTTTTGTCTCTATTCGCTTTTCAAAGTTTTATTTCTTAATTTTACAGAGTTAATAAAGATGCTTCAGGGAGATCAACAAATAGTCATCAAAGCAGCACCGAGAATGAGCTGAAGTACTCTGAGCCACGGCCCTGGAGCAGCACAGATTCAGACAGCTCTCTCCGCAACTTTAAGCCCGCTGTAACCAAAGCCAGCAGCTTCAGTGGAATTTCTGTCCTGACAAGGGGTGATAGTTCTGGAAGCAGCAAAAGCATAAGTAGGCTTTCAAAAGCAGGTATAAATATCTGTCTAGAACTGTGCATTCAAAACATTAGTTTCCCTAATGTTGTCTTGAGTTCTTTATGTTTCATACAGTTTATATAACTATCCTAAAATATAAAATTCCTATCAACAGTGCATTGAGCCCTTTCAAAGAACTTAAAAGATAATGTTTATTGACATTAAGATTCATTCTCTATTGTAACATAAACTTAATCATTTTGGTTCAATGAAATGTCATCTCTTGTTTGAGTACCCAGAGGTGGTTGGAAATTCTTCAGTGCTTTTCGTTGGAAGAGGATGGTTTCTCGCATAGTATTATCTAACAGTGATTGCATTTTCAGCTAATATCAATTACTGTTTGGATTTCTTATAATAAGTTCTTCATTTGACACTCAAAAATGAATAAAATTACTGAGAAGTTTTTAAGAAACTTAAAACTAAAGAAAAATAATACAATGTAATTGTTATGAATGAGTGGAGATTTTAATAGCATCCTCATTCTTTTAGCTTCTTTGCATTTAGAGCACATAACATTTAGGCTCATAACATTTTCTCTTTTCAATTTCACAAACTGGCTTCAATTCGAAGAAAGCTCTCAGGATCCTTTTAGATCCTTATTTTGATCCCAAAATAAGCATGAACATCACCAGAAGTTGCTCCCTCTCGTTAGCCTATTTGGGTCAACCAAAACAATTGGTTTTGTACCGATTTAAAAGTGATAGTATTTTTTTAATCCCTGACTCTAGTCAATGCTTTAAATATTAAGGCTTGCAGATTGCACTTGTCACATTTTTAACTTATATTGTAGCTATCACTAGTAAAAATGTCCTGGTATATATGATAGAATATTGCTAAAAATAGGTAAGCTTTATGAATATAAGAAATATGCAATGTACCAAATATACATTTATTTGAAAAATGCCCATAAAGTCTTCATAACAGAAAAAACTACTCATGTAACATGAGGTCATCATTCAGACACTACCAAATTAAAACATTTTAAGAACATGTACTATTTATTATCTGTTTTATTTTTAGAGATAAAAAGAAATGTTATTTAACTCAATAGAAAAAAAATATATTTTATATAGTTCTGGTCAGTAGTCATTTTAGCACAACTTAAAATAGAAGTTGTCTTTCAGAGAAAGTCTGTATTTGTTTATTTTATTTATTAAAGATTAATTCTCCATCCCAGAGTAAACTGTTTTTCAAAACTTGATTAACAGTTTACATTATCAAAATCTTTTCTTATTTATTCACCTTTAGCTATTATACTGAAAGTAAGTGACATTTTCTTTCTCATTGTCATAAAAAGTGAAATCAACTGCAGGCATAAAAGCAGTTAAAAATAAATTATCAAATTATTTTTTAAAGTACAGTGAGAAATAAATTTTAACTAATGCTAATAAAAGTAATTGGATTTTTTTATTGCTATCTTTGCCCCTTGATATGATTAAAAAATTGAGAGATGACTTTACATTATAGGAAAATGCTGTAATTATGAGCTGAAAATGAGTCTTAATGAAACTTGACAAGGGTTTCTCTTGCTAGAGAATTTATCTTTTTTTTTTTATTATTCCTACACTACTCCTAATCTCCCTGTGTTCTTATAGATAAGGTGTTTCTGATATAAGAGGCTTTGGGCATTTGGCTGTGCTAAGTTCTTTTCCCTGTGGGAAAATTATAATCTGTATATTTCTAGATGTTAATTTGAAAGGTAAAATGTATAAAACTTTGTTGTTTTGGATAATGTGCTTTTTGTAACTGTAGCTGGTATTATTATAAACATGCTGGTTGCATGCTTTAGCCATGTCTTTAACAAGTTGAGTGATCAGTTTGCCGTATTAAACTTGTTTATTGTGGGGAGGGAAAGCAAAATTGTACAGTAAATCAAAAGTAATCAATGCCTTTATGTGGTAACTACATGTTATGCAATGTGAATTTTACTGTTACATATTTAAAACATGCATTTTTTTGTATGAGGTTTAAAAAATCCATATTTTTCATTACTCCTCCCTAGGTTCTGAGTCTTCTGGTAGTGTAGGGTCATCTACGGGCTCTCTTTCTCACATCCAGCAGCCTCTTCCAGGTACAGCTCTCAGCCAGTCTTCTCATGGCGCACCTGTCGTCTATCCAACTGTCAGCACTCATAGTTCTCTTTCCTTTGATGGTGGCCTGAATGGGCAAGTCGCATCTCCTAGCACTAGCTTCTTTTTGCTTCCCTTGGAAGCGGCAGGCATACCACCTGGCAGTATTCTGATCAACCCACAAACAGGTTGGTATCCCAAAAAAAGGTGTTTATTTCAATTGAGATATCAGGAGTTACCTGAAAATTAAAGAGTACATGTTAAATCTAATATCTGTAAATGTGTTGTTAGCTATTTGTTTCTCATACGTAATTAGCATTTTTCCTAGAATAAAATTTTTCCTTTAATAAACACACTTTTGCTAGAAATATGTTAAAGGTCCTATTTATATCAGAAAGTATGTTTCTTGGTATGACATCATCTTTTATGCCAAATAATGGCCTAACTGTAACTAAAAACAACTCATTTCCTAGAAATGAGACAACCACCTTTGAAAGAGCTTTATTTGATTAACTTTTGATAGAAGGAGTTTTATTGGATTAAAGCTTTATTCTGGGAAAATAGTATGCATTTCATGAAGAAGAAAGTTAGAATGAGGTGGAAAGAACATGTAAGTAATTGTACTTTGGAATATGCTCATTGTTTTCTGCTGAGGAAAAGCTAAAGGAGATCTTATTAGTAAAAGAAAATAGGTAATCACTGAATTAATATTGACCAAACATTCTTTGCAATTAGAAAATGATTTGCATATACTGAGCATTTACTGTGTGTCATATACTGCTTTAAATACATTATTTATAATCCTTATAACAACCCTGTTGGTAGGTTAAATTCTCATTTACAGATAGGGAAACAACCTTTGAGAGATGCAGTTATAATACAATTCACTATGTCCATTGTCAAAAATGGCTTATGTAGAAAAAATGTGATCTTTTAAAAGATCACAAGAAGTCTTAATCTCTCTTCAAAACAGCATAGCTCACTTATTTGGTAAAATAATGAAAACCTACAGCATTTGATAACCTTCCTTAAAAATTGACAGTCTTAGCTGATGTAGTCACATCAAGATGGTAGTAGCAAGCAAGGTAGATACAGGTGAGAGTGTCAGGGTCGCTGAGTGTTCTTCTGTTGTAGAGAAATCCATGGCTTTGAATTCATTGCTTTCAGATTTCATTTGTATTTTTTTTTCCTTTTTTTAAGATAAAAGTATTCAAACATCCATTCCTATTCAAGAATTGAATTAACATAAATAACTGACTCTTTAGAAATTCGGGTTTTGCTTAATAACAGTTATCTTCTTAGCCTTCGGATTTATTATATTATTAAATTTCCTATTTCCTGGTGCAGGATATAAGATGATTTAATATTTCACTATTCCGTATTCTTTTTCATTCAAAACATACCAGTTAATATATTTTTGGTAACCTGATTGATTCTATTGAGTAGAGAATAATAGAGTAAGGAACTAGTCAATCTGAAATTAAATTGTATTCTTCATTTTAAATGAGTTTAGAAGTGATTTCTTTGCATATTTTCAAAATGAACGGTCAGCAAATATCCAGCATGACTTGTTTTTAGTTATTTATAACCAGCACATAAATTGTCCGGAAACATATCTGATAAAAATAATTTGACTTTGGAGGACTTTTCCCATTTTAGCAATGGCACAGTGGATTCTTCTCTTCCAAATATTATTATGTGTCATAGGTTTTTAAAAAATAGGGATTTATCATGGAAGAAATTATGTTTTGAAGGCAATGTAAAAAGCTTTTATTCAAACTTCTCTTATTTTCTTCTGTATTATTCCCATATTAGATGGGTATCATAGTCAGTGTCAATTATTTCACATAGTCTTTTTTAAAAATAATAATAATCTAGTGTATAGTGAGGAAAAATACTAATCTTGGAATCTATATGTGTTTTGAAAAAAATCTGGAAGAAGGTATCCAAATAGTTAACGATAATATTATGGGAGATTTATTTTCTTTTTTATATCTATTTGTTGGTTACTTTCCTACAATAAAAATATTAGAAAACGTTGTTTAGAATGTGTGTAGAGAAAGAATAAAATTTACTCACTAACTTAATATATCCCTCTGATAATTAGTAAGCACTGAAAACAAGCCTTAGAATCCATATTAAAGCTCTCTTGTTTTCTCTTAACTATCAATAAATCTCACTGAAATTAAAAACAATTATTTTAGAAAATAATTTAGAATTTAAAAATTATTTACCATTTTTAACAAGTTAGAAACTACAAACAAAATAAAGATACTGCCATCAAGTATATGTTTAAAATTCAAAGCTGTCTACCATTTAAATTTTTTTCAGTTTTAATTTTATTAGTTAAATATACACAAAATGGTCTGTAAATTAGCTATTTCCCACCACCTGATCAAGGCTAATTAATAATGTTCTAGTATCCCAAAGTCAAGCATTTTATCTTGAAACTGAAATGTATTGCAGCACTAAAGCACCACAATCTTGTAACTAAACTCTAGAGCAATATGTATTCAGAAGCCAGAGGCTTTCAGAAAATAATGTGTATTATAAAATATACGAGTAAATTTTGAAGAAAGCCTTACAGTAAAACACTGCAGAAACTTTGGTATATTTAAGTGGGAAAAATAAAGACTACTAATAGCTCCCTATAAGGTCAGGCTTTGCCTCCTAAGCTAGAAAAGACTTTTGGTTTTAAAAAACTTAAGTCTTTCAAATTGTGACTAAGGATTGTAGACATGTACTGTAAATTGTTACTAGAATGACCTATTTTCAAACTCTGCTGTAAGTGAATTTTTTTTTTTTTCTTCTCTTTAAATTTTTTAGGTCAGCCCTTCATAAACCCAGATGGGAGTCCAGTTGTGTATAATCCTCCTATGACTCAGCAGCCCATTAGAACCCAAGTGCCTGGACCTGCACAGCCACCTCTGCCACCCCCACCACCTCAACAACAACCAGCTAATCACATTTTCTCACAGGTGCACATATCCACGATTACATAATGCTAAGTTCACCTGCCTTTGCATTTTTGGGACTAAATTCACTAATTATAATTGAAATAGCCCATGTAAGTATCTCTTAGAACTTTAATATTCTCCACCAGTGATGTCCCACTCACTGCTTATAGGAAGAGAGAGGTTAACTTCAAGGGCTTTTCAGCTAATAAATACAAAATATATATGGAGGGAAAGGGAATTTTGTATCTTATGAGCCTCTGGTGAGTATTTTTTCCCTATTTCACAACAGGAAGAAAAGGACAAGAGGTATAAAAATTAAACTAGAATTGTTCATTATCACAGTGATGACTGTGTTTTAAAATTCAACAGATCAGTAGTTTGAAGAAACTGAGTTGAGTTGTTCAAGTTCTACACTAAAAATTTCACTAATGAGAAAATGCAGAGTAATTTCTTGTGAAAGAAGTTTGCTGATAAACTTGAACTAGAGAATTTTCATTAGCTTTGCTCACAAATTATATCATTTTTATGTAGGGATGAAGAATGTATAAGCCATTTGATAAAGTTATCAAATATTTTGAAGGGCTGAAAATAATTGTTCTTCTGGCAATTAACACTCCCAATACTGGGCAAGGCAGTTTATCTAAAGTAAATGGATATCAAGGTTTTTGATGCATTCCTAAGATATAAATATGAATTTATATATGTAGAGGAGATTGCCTGAAACTATTTCCAAAGAGACTCATATTCACTTCCTAACCCTGTTTGTAGTTTAATATATAACCCAGTTACATATTAAACTACTTAAAACTCCCTCCCTATTCTTCTCTTCTTTAGCTTAATTCAATTTGATCCTAAAGTGTTTTTCTTTCATTTTGCTATCGTGTGGTGTTTTTTTTGTAGCACTGTTTTTCACTAGGAATTTTATAGGACTGATTTTCATTTTATTTAATTCAGTTAAAATAATGTTAGTCTGATAACTTCAAAAAATTCTAAGAATTTACTTATGGTTATGTACCTCTTAAAAATAACTTTGAAGACATATGTAAAACATAAGACAATAAAAAAAGTTGTTTACAATATATAAGTTCGATTTAGTTATGAAACTATTGTAAGTGAAGCTGTAGTAGACCATTTACTTTAGAAATAAATTCCTATTGGACTATAATTTGAAATCTTAGGGTATGCATCAATTTTTCATGGCTCTTTTTCCTGACATTCTTCGTAATTCATCATCAGTTATAAAAATAGAGAATGGATGAACAGATGACACTCAGTAACTATCTTTTGCACACTAGATAATCATCAACAGAATTTCAAATAACCACACAAAAGAATGCGGTGATTTCCAAAGCCTGCAGATGGGCTACATTTCTTGTAACCAATCACTTTAAGTGGAGGCTGTTTGGCAGCCAGTTAACATTTTAAATAGGAAAAGGAGGTTCTAAGGCTTTTTTCTCCTAAGTGGTATCAAAATTTTATTTTGGCCCATCCAGCCTGGCTCAGTTGAGCATCAACTTAGGAACCAGGAGGTCACAGTTTGACTCCCATCAGGTCAGGGCACATGCCTGGGTTGCAAATCCGGTCCCCATTGGAGAACGTGCAGGAGACAGCCGATCAGTGATTCTCTCTTACCATTGATGTTTCTATCTATCTCTCCCTTTCCCTTCCTCTATGAAATCAATAAAAATGTATTTAAAGGGGAAAATGCCCAGCTGGTGTGGTTCAGTGGGTTGGGGGTCAACCCAGGAACCAAGAGGTCACTGGTTCAATAACTGGTCAGGGCACATGCCCGGGTTGCGGGCTCTATTCCCTTAGAGCAGTGTTTCCCAAAGTATGGTACGCGTACCCCCAGGGGTATGGGAAGAGTTTGGTGGGGGTACGAGTTGCACCAGAGTTTGGTGGGGATATGCACTGCACCATGCTTAGCTGCGACTAATTCTAAGTTCTCATGAGTACAACCTGTTTCTATCCCTGTCCCTTCCTTTTTCTAAATAATAATAATAATAATACATTAAATATCTTTTTTTACTTTGATTGGCCAGTTTTTCTCAACCCACATTTTTCTCATTACCACTTGACAATCTGGTGGACATTAATACATACCCTTGGTGCTCATAGTGCTCTTTCATTTAACACAGAGCAGGCTAAAGCTTGTATTTCATCTGACACCTACATAGTAGGTCAAGTTGTTGGAGGAAAGTTATATTTTAATGATTGTCTCCCTTAACATCACGTTTAATACCCTGGAACTTCTAAAGCTACTACACCTCACTTAGTGTGTTAGGTGCTGTCATCATGAGGAAGCTTGCTCATTTCTAGTTGAGAAGTTAGTGAAGAAACAGTAGGTACTTCAAGATCTTTCAGCTTTTACCTTTTTTAGTACTTTAATTCTAGATTTCCTTGAAAGGTTCTAAACTAATATAAGCCTTTCATATTTTTAGAAACTCTTGCATTAATACTGTGAAAATGCAACTCATTTATGCATCTTAATTGTCATAAAAATTTCTTCTTTTTTAGATTATCCCCTAATACCATTGGTTTATTTTGCAATTTGAAAGTATTCTCTTTGGAAATATTCCAGAGGGAGATTCATATATATATACATTTTTACCAAAAGTATGAGTTTTTATTAGGTAAAATTGCCTGGGTTCCTCCATTGCTTGCTAACATGACAGTACAGGTCACTTAACTCACTTTTGCCTGATTGCCCACATATAAAATGATTATGATTAATAACTTTTAAGCCAATATGTATATTACCCCCTTTGTAAAAAACTATGTAAATATAATATTGGAAATCTAAATCAGATGTAAATGTTAGCTTATAAATGGCCAGCTATATTCCATAAAATTTAAGAGTGATTACATTTCTTTTTTCAAACACCTATTTATTGAGTGCCTTTTGGAATCTCTTTTCCCCTGAAATGCAGGCGTGTACCATTAGTGAAAAAAAAATTGCAAGAACTAGTTTTCTCAGCTTGTTTGTTTGTTTGTTTTGTTAATCCTCACCCTAGGATATTTTTTCCATTGATTTTTAGAGAGAGGGGTTGCGGGGAAGAGAGAGGAAGGGCTATTGGTTGCCTCCCTCAAAACTACGGGTCTGGGGAACAAATCTGCCACCCAGGTATGTGCCCTTGACCAGGAATTGAACTAGAGACTCCAGTGCGCAGGCCACCCTCTACCACTGAGCCACTCCAGTCAGGGCAAGTTTCTCAGATTTTAATAAAAATTTTTAGTTGCAAGAAAAATATGTTTCTCTTCGGTATATAAAAGAGATGTGTTTGTGTGTCTGCATGTTTGTGTATGTATGTGTGTGTTGTTTCTTTAGGCTGTTGTTCTTAATGGTACCTCTAATACATTTTTCTTTAAAAATTTTTTTTAATTTATGCACTTTGGTCCCAATAGAGTTCCTCATTGTGCCATATCAAATAAAGACAGTAACTGGCATAGATGTTATGTAAGTTATTACTGTCTGATAACAAAATAAGTGAAGTTTTATTTTATTATTTAGTGTTATATATCTAAATAAAGCAGCCCTTTCATCAAATCAGGAAGGAAGGAAAAGTGGTTTTGTTTTGACTGACATAAACCAGGGGTGTATTGGTTAGATAATAGGATTTAAAATAACTGTTTCAGTGAATCAATTCTTTTTATGCCAAAGTTATCTTTCTAATTGTGTATTAAACTTAAGCATAGGTATATTCTCAAAATGTTTACTATGTAGAGTTTCCTCATTTTGCATTGTTTTTGTTGTTTCCTACGTAGTTGTATTGAAGATGACTTTATAAATCTAGTTAAAGCTATTGCCAAAACAAATATAACATTTTTTGCAGTTTTTCTAATATTTTATTTTGACATTAACGTTGTTTGCCAAGCTGTTTGTCTTGGCCTGTTTGCTTTGTGCAGTCCTCTTCACAGCCTACTCCATACTCTACAGTCATTACCCATCCCCTCCTGCCAATCTTACCCACCCAGCAATACAATGTGATACTATTTCTCTGTTCACTCCTTCATGTTTTTGTGGATTGGATGTGTGATAAAGGCTCATGAATGTGATTAAAGTCAGGGATACATATATACTGAAAAGTGTTTCTATCCTGTATTAGAAATAAATTAATTTCCTTTCCTAAAATACTAGAGGTCTTGTGCACAAAATTCTTGCACTGGTGGTGGGAGAGAAGGTGTCCCTCAGCCCTGCTTGTGCCCTCTCCCAGTTCTGGATCCCTTAGGGGACATAGCAGTGCAGCAGGCAGCCAGGGAGAACCCTGAATCAAGGCCTGGCACCCCATCACTCCCACTCATCCCAGGCCCCCTGCGCCTTCTGTTGCTGAGTCAGGAGAAGCTCTCCACTTTGGCAGCTGTATTTCCCAGCCATGAGCCTGGCTTCTGGCTGAGCAGCGCCCCCCTTGTGGGAGCACACTGACCATCAGGGGGCAGCTCCTGCTTTGAGCATCTGCCCCCTGGTGGTCAGTACACATCATAGTGACCAGTCATTCTAGTCATCCCATTGTAACGGTCATTAAGCTATTATATAGATTTGTTATATTGGCTTTTCACAGTGTTTGCATAATCTCTAATCTTTTCCATCCTTTCATAATGAAATAATTTTCATGTAGACAATTATTTCTAGTCCCAACATGTTTTCACTGCTTTTCTCATGGAGATCAGTGTAGCTCAATGCAATCCTGAGATGGCAGCTTTCATCTGGAAATAGGCTTTCTGTCTTTCCCCAAAGCCATAGGCCCAGTATACTTAGTGCCAGTTACTAGGGTGAATTGAAACTTAAAACTACAAGAGACATCCTCCTGAGTAAATTTCTAACAAAGATCTCTAGATATGTAGTCTATAACTATAAAGTAATGGTACCTCCTTTAATTTCAAGTATGCCCCCAAGTTATACCGCACATAGGGCTCAGTTGCACCACTGTTGTGTTTTCTGTGTGACCTGTAGTTACTAATCATATGAAACAGTGATATACAGTACTTCTTGCATAGTGCCTAACATGAAATATTCAGTAAAT